ATAAAAAACACAACTCCTTATTTCAGTGATTCTAAAAGCACGTTGGCTCCTCCTCCGTCTTTGTGTTACTGCACGACATTATTAATTACAGTAAAGATCCCTAAAATATCATAAAGGTGTGATGATTATGAAACAACAGGTGCAAAGGTGACCTTGTTATGTGAGATATAAAAACAGAGGCATGTACTTTGGGAGACGGTTTAAAACACAGACATTTAAAAGCACGAGTAGAATATAAATAGAAAATAGTGGGAGGTGTAGAATCAGCTGGGCTGTGACTGAAACACTCACTGGTTCACCTGGGAGACCCCGAGGTCCAACGTCTCCATCATCTCCCTGCAAACACAGAAGAAGAAGCACGTTATGGATGAAAAGATGCTGATCAGCAGTGACACAATATCTGGATGTAATAATATTCTCAGATCTACGTACCCGCTCTCCATCCTCTCCTGGGCCCCCTGGTGGTCCCAGTGGTCCAGAGTCACCCTAATAAAATATAAGGATGAAGCAGATGTAAATAAATGATTCTCCAGCGGTGATAAAGATTAGAACTGAAAAACAATCATTGTTTTTGAGATTGTTAGACGTACCCTGTGTCCTTTATCACCAGGCAGACCAGGAAGACCATCGAAACCACGGTCGCCCTGTGAAAGACACAGACATAAACAATACTATTATCTCACTGTAGAAAGTAGAAATGCATCAGAAACAATCTCAATACAATAACAATGAGTCAGCACACAGCTGAGGCCTCGGGATCCATGAGAAAGACTTTGATACAGCTGAATAATCAGGGAGAACAAACTGACTGTGTCGAGCTTTTGGCACCAAAATGACACCAGTATTTAAATTTTAATATCAATTCTTACTGGACCAATAAAAAAGCTACGGAGACAGAGTGGAGGCTTCAGGCTGGTGGTGTTTAAATAAAGGCAGTGAGGGTACCTTAGCTCCAGGCTCTCCTGGCATTCCTCTGGCACCATCAGCTCCAGCACGGCCCTGCGAGGAGCAGAGGAAGAACATGTTTAAGTGAACCTACGTTTAAAGACAGCTTAAACAGGAGCACAGGTGAGCATCTGGATGGACAAAAACCGGCTTTTAGAGGTTTTAAAACTTTCTGGTGACAGCCTGAACTGCAGGCCTGAAACGACACCTACTCTCATAAAACTTAAAAAATAAAATTTACAACGACAAGTGATACACACATCTTAATAAAAATGTCAGCTGTTCATACTCACTCTTCTTCCTGCTTTGCCTGGAGGGCCCATCATACCGTGGGGTCCCCTTGGACCCTGAAAATAAACCAGAGGCCCGTCAGAAGTGTCAGTTATAACTGTGATCTCACAGACATGAGCTGAAAAGGTTCACTTAGAACACAATACAGGAGTAATAATAATAAAGTGATTAATAATTTTACACACAGCTGTTGTTATTTACCTGAGGACCGGGGTCTCCAAGCTCTCCCTTCAAACCAGTACTTCCTGGATTTCCCTGAAAGAGACTCAATCGTCTCAGTCTCATTTTACTAATGACGATGTCATATACACTTAGAGAACAGACCGATTATTATGATCCAAATGAAAGGTAGCATACCAGGGGTCCAGGGCGTCCGGTGAATCCCATTGGTCCAGGAGGCCCCTTCAGAGCCATCTACAGAAAACACGACAGCTGCTTATAGCAGTGATTCAGGAAGAAACTCTGTTTGCAGATTGATTTATGTTCCCTGGATAAGATCATCGTCTTAACGTTCACAGAATACCTGCTGTCCTGTTTATAACACATCATCTCTGTTCTGTGTTCTCTTACTGACCACATTAAAGTCTTATTTTGATTCTGAGTTTTCATAACATAAATAGAAAAAAGAAATAATTAACAAAGTGCAGTTTTTAATAAAATATTGGAGACAATGTCTTTCACAAAAGGTGACAATACCAGGGCGAAACAAAGCCTCAGTAATCCACTCATAGATAGAAAAGCTGAAATAA